TGGCAATGGACTACAACAGAGATTACTTCTACTCCGACACGCATGGCGCCCCTTTTTTTCGGCGACCTCAACCAAGGCATGGGGCGTCGTCATCGGGCCCTATGCACGGACGACAGCATCGAATTACAGCAGCCCGCCCCAGAGACTACCGCAGGCACGCCCATTCACGAAAGACTCATCCTCAATCAGCTCTGCGCGTATAACACATTCTGGAATACTGGGCAGATTTCTTTCGGCAATGGCGATGCTCGCAGCAGAATTGACTATTGGATCGGCCCCATTGATGCGTTTCCTACTATTACGCAGCTCAAAGTATGCTGGTGCTTTCATCAACGCCTGCATGTCCTTCCCCGCATGCTCGATTGCATCCCAATGCTTATTCATGTCCAACCTATCTGCCCAACGTCATCTTCTACCGACTATGCACTACGATGGGACTGGGCCTTGCTGGCAGCAGGATTACAGACGGGGGATCGACGCGCTAAATTTTACGTGACCTACATCAGCAGCTCATTCAACATACACATACTCTCAGATTTTTCCAATATAACAAGCTTTCCGACCGACATGCAGCATACGTTGCATACTTGGTCCAGCAAGCAGCGATTCTGCATTATTTTCGTCATGGAGGACATCCAGCTTGGTTCAAAGATGCTCAGCGTATACGACAGGAACTCCTCCGAGAACGTGCACAACTACGTGACAAAGGCATGGCGGTCGACGACACCTATTTCAAGCTCATTTCTCGCCGATTCCGCGAACATGCCCAATGGAAACGGGCACGGTGACATCTTTTTCTCGACGAACAAATCACCGAAGCCTACCGCCACCGCGACCTCTCACGAGTCGCCGAGTTCAGCAGACTTCGTGCAGGCACTAAAGCAGGCCCCAAGAAACGTAATTACATGCGAAGTGGGAGGTCGAGTTTGTAAGGAGATCGAAGAGTACTTCGAGAAATGCCAGTCAGAGGACCCTCAGCCCGAGCCAATGATCGACGTAGAGATCCTCCTGACTGAAGTCGCCTTCCTGCGCATCGACAAGACCCACGACCCGAACACCGCCAAGCTGATCCCTGGCGCCAAGGACTGGCAGGGCCGAGGCTACTTGCTCGCTGGCCCATGCTCAGAAGGGAACGCGAAGCACCACCTGGGCCCAGCCCCAACGGGCTGGCTGGAGGAGGAGATATCGATATGGCTAGACTACTTCCGACGAATGACAGGATGCTACGACTGGTATCTGGCGGCATAATACCTGCAGTGAGGCCCACAGTAGCTCCCGAGACGGACCTCACACAACAGACAGGTGACCTCCCATCAGATAACGCTGATCCTGAGGTACAGACCCACGATCTAGCAGCAGACGAGGAGGCTGCCGAATTTGTTGTTTTTCATGATGTGCCCCGAGAGGTCCCTCCCAGGGCCCCCATCGTCCAGGGCCGTAGCTGGACTCCTATTTACTCTCCCCCCCTTTCCTGATATCCCCGAGGAGTAGGAGATGAGGAGCATTTCCCTCCCCCATTCTCGTTGCCCGCCATAGCAGGATGTTGTTTGTCTGTGAGACTTCAGCTTTGGATCAGTGCGAGGCCTCAATTCAGAACCGCCCTCAGGGTCTTCCAACGCACAGCGCGTGCCAGCCCGCATCAAGCGAGCTGCACCGTTGTAGCGACAGGCCATGCTAGTCAGCAGGCAAGAGGCAGTTGGACACTGCAGCGACGAGCAAGGAATGTACTAATCTTTTCGCGGGTACGGCGGTGCCAGTCAGGGCTTCGGTGTTGCTGGTGCGGCCGCACCCGCCACACGTGGATATTCCCCACCTGTGAAACCAGTTTCATCCGTAACCGCTCCCATGTCGTCGTAAAAAAGTTGCCTCTCATAATGTCATCGGATTTGTCTTGGAAGCTTTTCGGGAGCGTTTTGGAACGTCTGCGGGCATCTTGGCGGGCCCGGGGCCGTTCTTGAGCGTCTTGGGTGCCTCGGGGATCCTCCTGTGGCCTCGCGGGGCTCATGGGGTCATCTTGGAAGACGTCGACCCAAAAGAGGAAAGGGTCGCAATTGGCGCCCCCCCTCGAAAACTCCAAACATCGCTTAGTCTTGGGGCGCTCTTGGGCCCTCTGAGAGCGCTCTCGGGCGCTCTCGGGGCCGTCTTGGGACTCTCGGGCCTCTCCCGGGGCCCTCTTGGACCATCTCGGGGCCACCTTGAGGCCCGAGAAGGCGATCGAACGCGAACGGGCGGCGATGCAAACAACATTCGGTTCCCGTAGTTAGTTGAAGGAGCTTGGTTTCTAGGGGACCTCCGTGGAAGTTTCGGGGGCCTCCTGGAGCTGTCTCGGAGCGTTCTCGGGGCCTGTTGGAGCATCTTCTTGGAAACCAGATTGAGTCATCTTAGGCCAGAGCCATGTTGGAGATCATTGTGGCTCTCTGAGACGCTGTTGGGGCCGTCTTGGGCCATCTTGGACGCTCCAAGCACCCGCGAACCCCCCATCGAGGTCCAGGGCGGGGGCGGGGGAGGGGCGCACCCCTCCCCGGAGGGGAAGCAAGGGGTTGGAAGAGGAGCCTCTGTAGACCACTTGCGCCAAGAGGACTGGAAGGATTCCAGCTGGTTCCTGTCTCGCCAGAACCCAGATAATTTAATCGTGGCAGGATATTGTTCGGTTGCCGTTCCGCACTCTGTTGATTTTAGGTGCTCTGTTTGGTGTGAGCTTCTAGGAGGTTTATGGACATACGGGCGTTCGATTGACAGAGAGGGGTTAAGGACTGGTCCTACTCGTTCGTGGTGGCAGACGCTGGAGGAGGATGTTTCGGATATTTTTCGTTGGTGGATGCCCCCAACGCGTCGAGCGCATCCGTGCCCGCCCTGTTTTTGTTTGCGTGGTGGAGAAGTTCGGCGCGCATTTCTGACGACAGACTTTCGAGTGGTGGCAAGTAAATACATGGGCAAACATATACCTCTTCCTGTGTCCTTGGGGTTCCCCCCCCGCCTTCGCCGCCCCCCCGCCCCCGCCTCCTCCGAGTTTCGACTGCAACCTCCTCCTTGGGGCGGGAGACGGTGTCTGTGGTGCGGAGTTCTCCACTAGGCGTCAGCTACGTCTACACCAAGCTTACTTTCAGTTTCCTACTCATGGCTTTCGTGACCTTGCTAGAGTCGTTACTGTGTCCAACGCGTGCTTAGTCTGCGGAGATATGTATTCGACCAAACGTATTGCCAGTGAGCGGTCACTGAAAACTCTGGTTAACAGAAGTGTCCGAGGTCCCGAGGCTCTGCTACTGTTTTCTCGCGCGTGGCCTGTCCTCACTACGCGTGTCAACTATGCGAAGCGTCCTTCGATAACTGCTCCGGGGCTCAGTGACATCTTAGGCAGCATTTACCCTTGGAAGATCAGGTGCCCGAGCTCTAGTTTGATGAATGAGCAGCAGTGGGCGGCGCCCTTTGGCAAGGTGAGAGAGAAAGGCCCGTTGACGCCGCCGCGGTTAATCCCGGGGCGCAGGAAAGGAAGAGGCATGTCTTCCAGGACGGCACCACCGAGGAGCAAGCGGGCTTGGCCATCAAGTTTGGGGTCATCAGCTCGGGGGCGGCAAAGAGGGGGGTGATGCCTAGGGGGGGTGGATATCATGGCAGGGGCCATGATATCTCCCCAGATGTCATGGCGCTTCTTGTTTTTTCAATACGTCATTGGCCCGCCCTGGGCCGCGCACGCGTCGCAGGCCATGCTTTGCGCCCCCCCCTTCTTGGACGCCCCCCGCTTGGCCGCCACCGATCAGCGCTCAGAAGAACCGTCTCTTTGGAGGCGGCGTGCACCGCGCGGTTTGCCTTCAAAGGTTCGGGTCCCGTCTGCGTTGCGATGAAGAGTGTCCATGACCCAAAAAGAGTTCTGCCTCGCGTGAAAGGTATGAGAAGGGCACGGCCTGTGAGCTCCCGACAGCTTCATGCTCGCAGGTGCTGTTGTGTTTTGGTGGGTCGCACCGACCCGACCCAGCAGACCACCCCTTGCAAGTTTTAAGATAGCTTTGAAGCAGCCAGTGCGCAGCCCCAGCTCCTTGTCAAGATTTTTCGCACCGGGAACATGTACTACTCTAGAATTCGCAGGCTGACGGTCGCTATCAGCGACCCAGTGCTCGAGTCCACCACTGTGCACTGTTAGTTCCTTCGGAAGGGGAAGTGGCTGTCTTTGCTGGTCCGAGGCTTGTTGGCTACCTTGAGCTGGAGGGGCAAGGTTCGACCGTCCAGAAATAGCTCGGGCTGCGCCGCAGAAAGACGATATTCGGCCTTGCGCCGACGTCAGCCGAAAAACACCGTCGCTGGCGACCTCCGTTTTCGTGGAGTGTTAAGGCGAACTTGATGGGGGCACCCCAAGTTTCTCCCCAGATTGTTGAAGCATCGGTCTCAGTGGAGCCTTCCATTACCTTATCTTACCTTACCTTCTCCTCCTCCTTCCTCCTCCTCCTCCTCCTCCTCCTCCTCCTCCCCATGCCCCACCTCGTCCTCCTTATCCTCCTCCTTCTCTCCTCCTCCTCCTCCTCCTCTTCCTCCTCCTCCTCCTTCTCCCTGTTGTCCTTCTCCTCCTCTTTCTCGTCTTCTTTCTCTTTTTCTTTCTCCTTTTCTTTCTCTTTATCCGTCTCCCTCTCCTCCTCTTCTTCCTCCCTCTCCTCTTCCCCCTGCTCCCCCTCCCCCTCCTCCTCCTCGTCCTCTTCCTCCTCCTCCTCCCCCTCCTCCTCCTGCTTCTCCTTCTCCTGATCCTTCTCCTCCTCCTCCTCCTCCTCCTCGTCCTCCTCCTCCTCCTCCTCCTCCTCCTCCTCCTCCTCCTCCCCTCCTCCTCCTCCTCCTCCTCCTCCTCCTCCTCCTCCTTCTCTCCTCCTCCCCCCCTCCTCCTCCTCCTCTTCCTCCTCCTCGTCCTCCTCCCCCTCCTCCTCCTCCTTCTCCTCCTCCTCCTCCTCCTCCTCCTCCTCCTCCTCCTCCTCCTCCTCCTCCTCCTCTTCCTCCTCCCCCCGGAGAAGCGAGCGGAGGTCCGCGGCGGCGCCTGCGCCCGCCTGTGCCTGCGCTCGCCTGGGCCCGCCGCCAGCAGCCGCCGCGCGGGGGCCAAGGGCGCGCCCGAGGGCCATCGCCAAAGATGCTGGGCCTGTTTGCCACCACCACCACCACCACCACCACCACCACCACCACCACCACCACCATAAGTTGTGTTGGGGCACGGAGGAGGAGGAGGTGGAGGAGGAGGAGGAAGAGGAGGAGGAGGAGGAGAAGGAAGAGGAGGAGGAGGAGGTGGGGGGAGGAGGACGAGGGCTCCCTCCCCCTCCAACTTCTGGTGGTGGTGGTGGAAGACAGGCCCATCAAAAGGAGGAAGCTGGTCCTGAGGGAAGCGGCTCCTGAGGTTTTTCGCCGTTCTTCTAGGCCTCCCAGATGGGGTTCAAGTAGACGGGATCGGAGGATCGCGCCGCGTCGTCGATGCATCGGCGAGGCGGGTCAATGCGGATCCCGATTTCCTCCACGCTGGCGTCGCCGGTGCATCACCGATGTCGCCGATGCATCGCTGGTGCATCGCCGATGCATCGGCGATGTATCGCCGATGCATCGGCGATACGGCGCGATCCTCCGATCCCATGTACTCCGACCCCATCTAGGTAGCCTCTAGTTCTTGGTTTCCCAGGGCAGTCCACGGGCCCTGGGACGGTCAGACGAAGCCTCGGGGCGAAGAGCTGGTTCTGCGCGGGAGGCCCCGGGGTCCGGGGCCCGTTTTTACGTCGGGGCCCGTCTCTTGCATGCTGAGGTCAGCATCGCCAGATCTGTCCACATCCCCAAAGGGCGGCGACATGGAAGAGCTGGCTGAGGGGGGGGGGGGCGCCTCTCGCGGCCTGGGCCCCGCTTCCGCCAGGGAGCGTGCGGTTTCGTTCTCGACGGCCTCTCGCCGGTCCGTCGGCGATGCATCGCTCGTCCCCTGCGCCAGCGGCTGCCCCCCTGGCGCAGGCCCCCCGTGTCACCGTCGCCAGTGGGCCACGGCTCCTCAGCGCCTCCGGCCTGCCCCCCCCCCTGAGGCGGGGATGGATGCCTCGAGGCCGGACGGAGACGCCACCCATCCCCGCCCAGGGGCCCGGGTCGGACAGCCGGGCCCAGGCCTTCCCGTGGGGAGGGTCGGAGGAGGGCGAGATGCGGCAGCGGTGTTCTGGCCCTCGGAAGGGGGGGCCCTCGTGGCCTTCGGCGGGGCGCGGCTCGGAACACTGGCGCGCCGGGGCACGCCCCAGGAGGGGTCCGGGGGGCCGAGCTGGAGCTGCCGCCGTCTCCGCTCGCCCTGCCTCCGGCGCGGGGGACACGTCTCGAGATGCCGAGGAGGCGGCGAGGAGCTCCCCCGCTGCGCGGGCGACCTGGCCGACGTGGCCGACGTGGCGCCGGGTTCGGCTGGGGACATCCCGGGGAGGTGTCGTTGGCCACCCGCCGCCCAGGGCCTGCACGCCCACCGCCGCGGAGTCCTGCCTCGAGGGGCCTCTCGGTGGGCCGTTGTGTGTGCGTGTGTGTAGCCCGTCGGATGCGGCGCACGTTTCTCTCGAGCGGTAGCCCCGCGTGGGTTTCGGGGACCCTCGGGCTCCTCTTGGGCCTGCCCCCTCCCCGCTCCTTCTCTTGCCTTCCCCGCTCGTCCTCCCGAAGTACGGGGTGGGGGTCTGTTTTGAAGCTTTTCGTCCGCCGCCGCGCAGCATCTGTCAGGCCCGCGGAGCGGGGCCTCTCGAGGGGCGGTCGATGCAGAAAGCCGCCCGCCCCTGACATCCGCCGATCTGATGGCCAAGTCCTTGCGGCCAGCGCCGCCGACCCTGAAGGGGGACGACGCCGACGACGACGACGCCGACGACGACTACGACGACCGCCGCCGACCCTGAAGGGGGACGACGCCGACGACGCCGACGCCTTCGCCGACGACGACGACGACGACGACGACGACGACGACGACGACGACGACGACAGCCCGCCCCTGACCTCGACGACGACGACAACGGCCCGCCCCTGACATCTGCCGAACTGTTCTGCCCCTTCCGCGGCCCAGGAGGCCCCGACCGCTCGTCCCAGATCCACTCTTTGATGGTCCCGGGGCCCGATGCGGCCGGCGTCGCAGAGGCGGCGTGCCATGTGGCGCCGCAGGCCCGCTTAGCAGACGCTGTCTCCCACCATATCGTGTGGATATCGTGTGCAGACGAGGCCCTGGCAGGGGGGATCACGTGCACAGAGGGATCCCTCGCAGGGGATCGCCCTGCGTCGATGGCCGATGGCGTTGGAAGATCTGTCTTTGGGGGATGGCGTGCCTCTCGGAGATCGGTCTTCCAGGACATCTTTGCGACGGAAGCCGTAGTGGGCCCCAGACGCCGCAACCCAGGAAACACGCCAGGTTTGAGGACCTACTTCGTACAGCCGAAACCGGCAGTAAAGACAGGTAGCATTCCCCAGGGTACCCTGGCATCCTTGCCTCCTCGGTCCATTCTTGCCCCTTTCGATCGCGACCCCCGTTCAAAAAAAGCTTCGTCCTGGACGCCAAGGGAACTTGCATCTTTGTCGCGCATCCTTGCTGTCAGCTTTGATTGTGTCGACGGAGGTCTGGGGACCGCTACGAGCGGAAAAGCATCCACATCCACCGCTCCCTGGGGACCATGGGCATGGCTTCCGGCCGCCGTGGACGCGGGCATTGGCCCTCCTTGCGTTTCGGAACAATCTTTTCCCTGGGTTTCGAGGCATGAGGCCGGCTCCCGCATGCTTTTGCCCCTCCTTCTCCCCCTTGGGTTCTCCTCGTCACTTCCCCCTCTCCCAATTTTTACTATCCTGCACTCCCTCCTCCTCCTCATCCTCCTCCCTCGTTAAGATATCAACGTTAAGACCATCACACTTCCGACTTATGTTCATGCTTTTCGGCATCATCTTCGTCCTCTTCTTCTTCCACATCACGCTCATTCTTCCTCTCATCCTGCACTTCCTCACTTCCCCTCCATATTCTCATGCTGAGAGTAGGTCTGTTCTGACTCGGCCTATCCTTCAGCGTGTGGGGAGTGCCAGTTTACAAAGCCGCGCCGAGTTTTGCCGGAGCTTGCCGAGGTTTTTACCTAACAGCGAAGACTGATAGGTTTCTAGTGGTCTCAAAGGAGAGCATCATGACTCCCCAGGGGGGTCTGGGCAGATGCCGGACGGGTGCCCCGGGAATCCGGGGACTCCTTTATTAGCCAACTGTAGGCCACTTCGTGGTCTTCGAGTTCCCAGAACTCCATTCCTGGGCATGATTTTGAATGCCCGAAGCCAACTGTAGGCCACTTCGTGTTCTTCGAGTTCCCAGAATTCCATTCCTGGGCATGATTTTGAATGCCCGGAGCCAACTGTAGGCCACTTCGTGGTCTTCGAGTTCCCAGAACTCCATTCCTGGGCATGATTTTGAATGCCCGGAGCCAACTGTAGGCCACTTCGTGGTCTTCGAGTTCCCAGAACTCCATTCCTGGGCATGATTTTGAATGCCCGGAGCCAACTGTAGGCCACTTCGTGTTCTTCGAGTTCCCAGAACTCCATTCCCGGGCCACATTTTGAATGCTGAGGCAGGCTGAGGCTGAGGCTGAGGCAGGCTGAGGCTGAGGCAGGCTGAGGCTGAGGCTGAAGGCAGACTGAGGCTGAGGCTGGCAGGCTGAGGCTGAGGCTGAGGCAGGCTGAGGCTGAGGCAGGCTGGCTGAGGCTGAGGCAGGCTGAGGCTGAGGCAGGCTGAGGCTGAGGCTGAGGCAGGCTGAGGCTGAGGCTGAGGCAGGCTGATGCTGAGGCAGGCTGAGGCTGAGGCTGAGGCAGGGCTGAGGCTGCAGGCTGAGGCTGAGGCAGGCTGAGGCTGAGGCCGAGGCTGAAGGCAGGCTGAGGCAGGCTGAGGCTGAGGCTGAGGCAGGCTGAGGCTGAGGCTGAGGCAGGCTGATGCTGAGGCAGGCT